CCCCCAGTATTTGCAGCAAAAGTCTCAAGGTGGTTCTTACAGGAGGGTTCTGAGGCACTTGTCCCTCTCTGAACAAGTTCTGCTGACTGAGCTTGGATCCAGGTGTCTTCCTCTGGAAAGGGGCCTGGTGTTCGCACCACGCTGTTCAGACGAGGGGAGTTCTCCAGAGCAGCATCAGAGAAGGGATGCTGGGCAGGCAGAAGCAGCAAGGGTCAGTGCAGTAGATTTCACCCACAAGGATGGTAATGAAGACCAGCGCAGCAGCCAGGCCAACAAGTGTGTGTTTGTCTCCGTCCTTTCGGAGCTGCAAGACCAGAGCTAAACATGAGATCAGATCCTATCAACATTGATGTAACTTAAGGTTTAGCTTTGAAATCTGAATGCGCTTCCAGTGGTGGCACCAGCTAAGGAGTTGTAATGTTCTATTCTAAAGGATTTCTTTGCTTTGTCAAAACAATGAAAAAAAATTGACAACATTTTGTTGGAACTGATTTTTTTTTCTTTCCATTTGCGGGGGACGGAGGCTCCTAGAAAGGTGAACATTTTATTTCTTTGTGGATAGGTACCTAAAACTCCTCATTATTCATCGATTAATGAAAATTTGAGATAGACTGAAAAACAAAAGGATTGAGGTAGACCATTTCTGAAATTTAAGATGATAGGGTTTAACCAGCTAAGGCTTTTCAGGCTTTTGGAGTATTAGTAAAGTATTATGAAACCATCTGTCTGAAGCTTTTCATGTGTTAGAGATTTAGGGAAGGACAGGACTGCAAATGATGCATTTATACTGTTGCTGTTCTGTCTCTTACCTGCTGTTTCAAATGCAGCCTGTGTTTGTGTTTTGATGGAGCCAGAGCCTCCTCCCTGAGATGCATCCTGAATTTCCCACCGCAGTGCACGTGGGAAAGTGAAGGTGACTTATATTCATGGAGACCTGCCCACCCAGGCCCACCCCCTGGAGAGAAGCACCATCCCAACTGTTGGGCTGGGGGAACATTTTTAGGAAAAAGGGGATATTTTCTCTCAGGATATGAAGCAAGCTCATTCTTTTATTAAATCAAAATGGATTCTCTATTGTTAGTGCGCATCAAAGAGTATTTCATCTCTTTTTAGTCTTGGTTCAAAGTCCCAGACAGTACCATTCTCTAGTTTTTAG